GACCATTAGAAGCTCATTGATGAAACAGTCACTGCAGATTTCAACTACAGCTTAGAGTGTTTTTATTTTTATTTTACTTTATTTAGATAGGGTCTCCTCTGTTTCCCAGGCTGAGTGCAGTGACATGACCGTGGCTCATTGCAGTTTCAACCTCCCGGCCTCCTGGGCTCAAACGATCCTCCCACCTCAGCTTCCCGAGTAGCTGGAACCACAAGCATGTGCCACCATGCCTGGCTAATTTTATAATTTTTTGTAGAGATGGGGGTCTCTCTTTGTTACCCAGGCTGGTCTTGAACTCCTGGGCTCAAATGATCCTCCTGCCTCTGCCTCCCAAAGCGTTGGGATTATAGGCATGAGCCACTGCACCTCTCTGGATACTTGGGTACTTTTGAAAGAGGACCCCAGATGGGCAAACATATTAAGGGCTTGTCATTTATGATTGGCACTAGAGCTGTATCACAAAGTGTGAAAGAAAATTAATTATCTCCCTGTAAATGTACTTTGTAAAATTTTAGAGTGCCACGTAAATAAGTTGGTGTGGTTTTCAGTGCATAAAGCTGTAGCTTAGACTCAATGAATGTTTATTTTTAACTTATGAAGTGAGATTGTAACTCATTTCACGAAAGAGGCTAACACACCTCTGGATGTCTACATTCTGATTGTCTAGTGAACAAGGTTTGTGTTTTATTCAATGGTCCTGCATTGGTGACCTGCTATGTGATAATTACTTGGGTCGATAACAGTGAATACTTTTATGATACTATGGTTTACATGCTGTTCTTATATGGCATTAATTTATTTTACTGCTATGAGTACAATCGGTTATCACCTCCTGGAGATGAGGAAACAAAGGCATAGGTGTCTTAGGCTTGCATTTAGTGATGCAATTCTAGGTTTCAAAAAATAGCATGGGAGTGCAGGGGGAGATCTAGGAGGCAATATCTGAGTTGTGAACGTCACCCAGGAATTTCCTAGACATATGCTGTGGTTTGAATGTGCTCCCCAAAGTTCATGTGTTGGAAATGAAATTTCAATGCAACAGTCTTGGAAGGTGGGGCCTCATAGGAGGTAATTATGTTGTGAGGGCTCTAACCTCATGGATGGCTTAATGTTGGTATTGCAGGAGTGGGTTAGTTATTGCAAGAGTGGGTTTGTTACAAAAGCACGTTCCGCTGCGTTGCCCTCTTGTTCTTTCCCTCTCTCTCACATGCCGTCTGTGAGAAATAAATTTCCTTTCTTTGTAAATTACCCGGTCTGCAGTATTCTGTTGTAGCAACGCAAAATGGACAAAGATAACAAAGGTGGCAGGAAAGCACATTGAAATGATTCCACTTTCACTAAAACACTTCTAAATGCCTTTCCAATATATGTTTTAAAATTACTTTCAAAATATGCGGCACGTTTTTCAGTATCCTCAATTGTGTCAAATCTTTGGCTTTGAAAGTATATTTGAATGTTGGACAAAGTGAAATATCATTCACATTCAAGTTATGTAAATGAAACCAGTCTTTTTGTCCATATTAGCAAATGGCTTTAAAATAACACTAATATTTTGCAGGTGATTCATATATAAATAGGTTCTAAGGCTAATGTCAAAAAAGTTTGAAGAACATTTTGAGCTTATCTTACAATTAGAAACCCAAATAATAGGAATGTGAAGCTACATATGCAAGTGAAAACCAGCTTCATTTTAAAAATCGAACGTGAGCATTAGATATACTTGTCTGTTGTGCTTCCAAGGATCTGTGTGTACAGCTCTATGATCTCACCCTGCGTCAGAGGTGGGTGCGAGTTCCCCCTCCAGGCTGTGAGATGCCTGCAGGGAGCTGTCCTGAGCACTCTGCATTGACACAGCGTCTTTAGAGTAGGCATTTCCCAGTAAATGCTTATTTAAATAAATTCAATAAGTGCATTTTGATTTTTCCATAGACTGACACAGTGGAGCGTGGCTAAGAGATGATTCTTTATTATAAGCATTCTTCATAGGCAAAGTGGGAATGCGCTTATTTATGAGATCAAGTGGTTCAGACTGCTGTGCCCACCATGGTCTTGATTAGTGGATGGCGTCACTGTAACACTAGCTATCATGGGTGTCACCTGTTTTCTGGTACTTAACTCAGAGCGATGGTGCATTAAGACAACTCAAATGGAAAAAATAAACTGCAGCATACAAAGTAAACTGTGATTGTACAGAATTGTGAGATAATAGTCAACTTGGTTTCATATTTTTAAAATCAATCAATTAATTACTTGCTCTGTTGCCCAGGCTGGAGTGCAGTGGCATGATCTTACTACAACCTCCACCTCCCAGGTTCAAGCAATTCTCCTGCCTCAGCCTCCCGAGTAGCTGGGATTACAGATGCCTGCCAACACTTCTGGCTAATTTTTGTATTTTTAGTAGAGATGGGGTTTCACCATGTTGGCTGGTCTGGTCTTGAACTCCTGACCTTAAGTGATCTGCCTGCCTTGGCCTCCCAAAGTGCTGGGATTACAGGTATGAGCCACTGTGCCCGGCTTCAACTTGATTTTAATGTGTGGGTGAGAAGTATGTGTTCTCACATACGCAGTTTTGGCTCAAGTGCATGAATGGACTTACACGTGACATACGTTGAAAGGAGCAGATAGAGCACTTTATGCAAAAAGGCACTAGATGAAACACAATGGTTCTCTAAGACCTTCTTCACTTTGTCCACACCCACTCCCCTTTCATGCTGCAGCTCTCTTTCTGCCTCCTTCCTGAAATCTCTCCTGACCTCTTCATTCTAATCAACATACCCTTCTGTGGACATCCAGAGCATCTCATCCTGCCTTTCCCCATACCTATCTGTATATATCTCCTCCCCGTCCCTACCACTATATATCATGCCCCACAAGAGCAGAGTCTGTGTATCAACATCTTTGTTTTGTTTCTTTTTTTTAATTGCATTTTAGGTTTTGGGGTACATGTGAAGGACATGCAAGATAGTTGCATAGGTACACACGTGGCAGTGTGATTTGCTGCCTTTCTCCCCATCACCTATATCTGGCATTTCTCCCCATGCTCTCTCTCCCCAACTCCCCACCCCGTGCTGTCCCTCCCCTACTCCCCTCAACAGACCCCAGTGTGTGATGCTCCCCTCCCTGTGTCCATGTGTTTTCATTGTTCAGCACCTGCCTATGAGTGAGAACATGCGGTGCTCTTTGTTTCTTTACATGCTGTCTGGCACAGCACCTTCTTCAGAATGGGTTTTCAATACGTGAGCATAGAAAAGTAAATGAATAAGATGGCATGACGCAGCGAAGCAGTAATAGACTTCTCCCTAGGAGATGACAGATAGACAGTTTTTTGCTTCCTGAATACACAGCCATCCAGGTCTAGAGAGAAATGAAATGTAGGTTTATTTTTGTTGTGTTTATTTGTTCTTAGTCAAGGTGTCTAATCTATGCTGTTTCCTTATGCACAGATGGAAACTTATCATGCATAGGAGTCTCTGAAGGAAATAATTTTTGTTTAAACTTTGCCTTAGAAACTTCAAGGGAATTCAGAACAGGATTTCTTTAATCATCGGGCTGTATTATGTTGCCGATTGCCAAGCTGAAAAATGCTTGGCAGAACTTTCGGCTTCTGAGGTTTTGGATGCCTTCCAGGTAATCTGCCTCAGAATTCTGAAATACAAATAAATAAGTTCCAGTTCAAACTTTAAAAAATCTGAGCTGCTAGGCCTTTGTCTACCTTCCTTCTGAACATTTTGGTACAGAAATACCAACCAAGCAGAAAGAAGATAATCAGTCGACATTTCTGAGGTTATTAGCGGCCTCGCTTTAGAGGAACGAAATGAGAGTGAATGGTTTAAAACTTCGTCATGTTTCTTCATGGTAACTGGCTTCTGGCTGTAGGCATTTATTTTTCAGGATGTTTTCTCCCAACTTTTGTTTGAGAGAGGAGGATGAGGGTGTTCTTTGCTGCTTTGATTCTTCCAGAAGGAAGATTCTGAATGTTCCTCTGTTAAACGTTACACACTTAGCTTTGTTTTACTTTCTTGTCTGGTAGCCAAGTATTTTTCAAATCACTCACCATTCTACCGAAGCTTGCTAGTCCACTGAATATGATTATAAAGGAAAGTTTAGCATGACCTAAAAAGAGGCATGACTGGGAGTTTTGGCTGTCGTGAGCATCACGGCTAATGAAGATGCAGGATAATTTGAACGAGCCATATCACTTCAGCCAGTTCCTGTCAAGTTGTGAGGAAAACAAACATGTTTTATTAAAGAATAAAAAGATAGGCCATGTGCAGTGGCTCCTGCTTGTAATCCCAGCACTTTGGGAGGCCGAGGCGGGTGGATCACAAGATCAGGAGTTCAAGACCAGCTTGGCCAATGTGGTGAAACCCGGTCTCTACTAAAAATACAAAAATTAGCTGGGCGTGGTGGTGGGTACCTGTAATCCCAGCCACTTGGGAGGCTGAAGCAGGAGAGTCGCTTGAACTCGGGAGTCAGAGGTTGCAGTTAGCAGAGATCATGCCATTGCACTCCAGCCTGGGCGACACAGCAGACTCTGTCAAATAATAATAATAATGAGAAAGAAGAAAAGCCCCTGGTTTCAACCCCTAAACACACACGTGCACATTCCACACTTGTGTGTATGCGTGTACTTGCTCAAAAGTGAAGTCTTCTTTGTATGATTTCGTGTCTACAACACCCTTGTTTACATTGTGGAAGGCTGGGGTGACCTGCTAAGTATTCTGAAAGGGAAAGATGTGGTGGGAAGGATAGAACGGCTCTTCATTTTAACAAATTTCTCTTACCAAGCCTACTATTAACTTGTTTCTTTGACAACTACCATGCATTTGCTATAGAAATATATCCCCAGAATAAAATTTCCATGGAAGGAAAATAGTAGGATCACATTTTTTCTTTAGAGTTTCAGATACGATGAGATTTATTTGTTCTTAACTTTGGACTGGGGGACGAAGATCAATACCTCTCACAATACAACTCAAAGAAATGAGATTAAAACAATCTTTTTCACTTTAATATAATTTTTAATGATATATTTTATTTAAAACCTTTCAGTCCCTGTGGGAGGGTTTTACAGGAAAGTATATATCTTTGGTATTTCATATGACCATTGTCATTTGAAGGTGACACTGAACTTGTCTTCTCACTTGTAAGCTCTCCTTACAAACCAGCATGAAGCAAGCAGCTTAGGCCATCAGCCAATGGCACACCTAAGACTGGGCTGGCAGGACAGGAGGAGAAGCCACCTGGAGCCTCGAAGTGACCCAGCCTTTCCACTCTGACAGGTTCTGAGACAACCTCTTAGCTCTAGTTTCGCCAGCATTCTTTTCATATCTTGGAATAGGCCCTTAGAAAACTGTGAAGCAAACAGAAACAATTTTTTTTCAGGAAAATTTTATTCTCCCTCGTCCCTCTTTGCTTTACCAGGTACCTAGTTTCTTTGCCTGTTCCCGGCCCTTCAAAGCTCTCATGTGCCACTGTTCTTCCTTTGTTTACGCCCTTTGCTAAGCCTGGGAGCTGATCTGCCTCATTTAATTACTACAACAGCCTTATAAGCTACATAGAATTTTAAATTCCAATATTATTTCTGAAAGACAGAGCACAGAAGCAAGAGTCACTCAGTTACTACACAGGAAACATGGATTTTAATCTAGGCCTTAATGTGGGTTTAGTAGACAGTTGAAGAGTATACAGTGGCAAGTGTGAGACAAGCTGAGCATTTAAAAATGACCATGACTGTATACAACTCCACAAGTACACAATTAAACTCAGCAAAGAGAATGCCATCACTGGAGGTGATTATTACACAAATTGGTTATTCTGAGAATTGAGAATTAAAAAATAATTAAATATTTAATGTGTTTCTAGAAGAAACTGAATTTCAGCATAACTAAATAGTTCTACTTGAGGAAGGCAAACTTTGTCAAAGGACGTCAGCTGTGAATGCAGATGTAGTAATACGATCAGAAAGTCATTATCTGCAGCCTTTGATACGATGGAAATTCAAACAAGAATCTTTGACAGATGCTGAAACCACTAAAAGAAAGGTTGATTGGGACCGTCATGACAGACTTCCCCAGAGGACTGCCAGTTGAGTGGGGTGAGGGGGGCGCATAACTCTGCAGTGGAGGCGTCTGGGCGTCATCACCTGACGCTGCTTTTGCTGCAGTGGCCACTTACTGTGAATATCCAGCTGTGATACAGTATAAAGTTTAACATCATCTATGAAGCATTCTTGCTAAAAGTGAATCTACTCAAGACTTTAGTTAAAATTTCGACTTCATAAGGAACACAGAAACTAGAGGAAAAACTTAACCAGCACCACAAGGAAATAAACAAATTTAGAAGGCAGATCATTCTGTAGACTGATCTTGATTCCTCAGCGATTAATGTCATGGTACAAGAAGGGAGTAGGAAGGAGGTGTTTTAGAACTATATAATTAGCAAATATTATTCATGATTTTTCACAGGATCCTAGTTTGAATAAACCAACTGTAAAAAAGATACTTTTGGAAGAATTACAGAATTTTAAATATGCCGTGAGTGAATTGCTAATATATTTTATCAGGTGTGATATTGCTACTGTAATTATGTAAAAAAAAATTCATCTTTAGAGAGGCACACTGAAGTATTGAGGAGTACAATACTATGATATCTATAACTTATTTTAAAGTATGTCAACAAAAACTGAAGCAAATATAGCAAAATGACAATAGTTGTTAAATCTACATGATGACATGGAAGCAGGAATTTCGGAAAATTTTACAATTAAAACACAAAAATGAAAAAAAAAAAGAGTTAGGGAGAGATAGCATGGGGAGAAATGCCAGATACAGGTGATGGGGAGGAAGGCAGCAAATCACACTGCCATGTGTGTACCTATGCAACAGTCTCGCATGTTCTTCACATGTGCCCCCAAACCTAAAATGCAATAAAAAAGAAGAAGAAAAAAGAGTGGATTGGTTTCAAGACAGAGAGCTCTGGATAGCAGTCCCAGCTCTAAGCACTTACCTTTTTGTAGGATCTGGGCAAGTCGCTTCACTGTCAGTGCTTTCATCTGCCTAAAAGTGATAATAGCAGTGTTTGCTTCCTGGAATTGTTATGGGATAAAATGAGTTAACACAAGTAAGGAGCTCAGAACAATGATTGGCATGTAGTAAGCTTTCAACAAACATTTGCTATAATTGTTTCATGTGGGAGGAGTCAGATGGAATTAGGTTTAAATCCTGGCTCTGTCTTTTATTAGTTACGCTGCCTTGGGCTGTTTGCTTAACCTCACTAAAACTCAGTTTTCAGTGGAAGTAATAATACTGCCAGGGTTGTGGTGGGATTAATAACCTAACATATATAAAGTCACCAGCATATAGTAACCACTTAATAGATGGTGGCCTTGACGATCAGTGCTGTCAGAAAGCTATACTTTTTATGAGGCCTTCAGCGCCCTACTCCAATGCACAGCTAAAACTGGAATGTCCTGGCACTGTAGCTGTACAGAAGGCTGATAGATGTGCAGAGGGAATGTGGGGAAGTCTCTCTGGTCTTCGCTCATGTTGAGAGAAACATCGTGCCATATGGGATGCCATCATCCCCACTATGTGTGTTTGGGAGAGGCCTTGCTTTAAAGATGGTTGGATAGAGCATATAGGGTGGGTACAGAAGAAGATCTGGGCTTTTTCAGGGGTACAGAGTGTGGATAAGACCCAGAAGAAAGGAAAAGAGATGGCGAACTAGGGAGTCTGGCTCATGCTTGTTTCTACCTTCACTTGTCTTGGAAGTTTGAAAAAGTTCATGAAAGTGAAGGCATTTTTCACCACAGTCATCAACTGCTATAGGCGTTTGCAGCCTGGGAATAGATTAACTTCCCTAGACATTCTGTGCGGCCCACGCTACTGTCTCTCAATGCATAGCCTCACCTGGAATAAGCATTGTCATGTGCCCATGGAGAGAATTTAGGACGAATGGGCCTTGCAAGGTAATGTGGCTGTAGAAGAGAGCATTTCTAATACTTGACTCTAATGATTACATACACTTCTGATGGCGTGAATGGGGCAATGTGAAACTCTATCATTTTCTTTCTTTTTTCTTTAACTGTGTAAAGACATATTTTCTCTTTAATTCTGTATATATAACATTAGATAACACTATTTAAAGTCAATAGGTTTTTATTCAAGGAATTCCATGTTGTGATTTCTTCCACTGTCCACCAAGGTCACTTTTGATCCTCTAAAGAGCTGGAGCCAAAATCTATCTTCAAAAAATTTATCTTTAAGTTAGCCCTTTTAAATGAAACTGATGTTTATTTTAATCCAGTTGTCCTGTGCGCCCATAATTCTTTTATTTTGGCTTCTGTCATCTCCTTTTAATAGTGATATATTGAGGAAGATTTCAAAATTCACCTTTGGAAATATCAAGAGTCTTTGAGATCTAATTTCTCCAACCAATTTATTTTAGGGTCATTTTTAGTACAGGTGGATCTGCCTGGTTCTGTTTGACATCCTCTCTAAACATGAATGAGTTCAAATCATATTCATTCCTCAACGATCACACTCAAGAATAGTGCAGACGTGTGCAATATGCCAATACCTAAGGTAAAAAAGTAAATCATCAGGTCTTTCATACATTCAGTAACCATCTTTATCATGCTTGTAGCAACTGTCTTGTAGTTCCATCCTGCAGATCTAACAAGAGTCCTGTGAGTAAACTAAAACCACAGAGTTACTCTATGAGGCTTTTCCAACGATGGGTAGGCTACAGGAAAAGTCCCACTTGGATAGACTTTAAGGGCCAATGTGAGGGTGGAGCCACAAGATTGAAGGTGCCCAGGTTCATGAATGAATGTGGACAGAGTCCCCCCATCACCTCACACTGCACTGTGACATGAGCAAGAAATCTAATGTCACTATGTCAACCTGCTGCAACTAGGGAGCTGTTTGTTACAGAAGTGACACTATGCTGGGTAATATACTCCTTTTGGCTTTCTTTGTAGCTGCCAAGGATAGCAGAGATGTTCTTTGCTTTCTAAATTACATGTCTGTTGATACTTTTATGATCAGGGACTTTTAAAGTAAAGAAACCAAGGAGCTTGTTTATTAGGCATCAGTCACCTCACATGGAATTCAGTACTTTCCTATATAAACACTAGGGTCTGAACATCTGTTACCTGATTTAATCTGAGCACTGACTCTGAGGATCTTCAGGGATGAGGAAACTGAGGCTTAGAGAGGTTAAATGTTTCCACAGCTGGTGTTCAGAGACAGAATTCAAATGCACTTAAAAAATTTTTTTAACTTCAAAGACCTTGATCTTTTAACCACAATGTGCTCCTTTCTATGAAGACAATAGTCAGGAAAGGGAGATAATGCAGAGGGAGTGCATAAGAAATTTCTGGAGAGGTAGCAAAACCTCAACAAAAGCTGGCTACCAGTTATTAGTTCAGAAACTTACAAGACGATAGATCATAGAACAAAAAGGTAAAAAGGAAAGAGAATAATCGTGAATCCAGACCACAGGATTGGGTTGATGGGAGATCAAATTCGAAACTTAGTTCAAAAATTTGTAGTGCTCCTCGAATCAGTTATTTAGGTTTAATTTAAATTGTTTAACAAAAGGTTATTATTTGTTCAGAATCTCTGAGTTTATTATACTCAAATACGTTTCTTTTATTTTAACTTTGATTTTAAGTTCAGGGGTACATGTGCAGGATGTGCAGGTTTGTTACGCAGGTAAACGTGTGTCATAGGGTTTGTTGTATAGATTATTTCATCACCCAGGTATTAAGCCTAGTACCCATTAGTAATTTTTCCTGATCCTCTCCCTGTTCCCACCCCCGACTCTCCAGTAGGCACCAGTGTGTGTGTTTTCCCCTCTGTGTGTCCATGTGTTCTCATCACTCAAATAAATTTCTTTTTATTTCAAGTTCTGGATCTAAACCCTAAGGGGTTATAGGGGATATGTATTAGAGTTTTCCACTCTGACTATCAACAGAACATATAGGGTATGTGTGTGTGTGTGTGTGTGTGTGTGTGTGTGTGTGTGTGTAGAGAGAGAGAGAGAGAGAGAGAGAAAGAGATTTTAAAATAAGAATTGGCTGACATGATTGTGGGTGCTGGCAAGTCTGAAATTTACAGGGAAAGCCAGCAGGCTGGAGGCACAGGGAAGAGCTGACGTTGCAGTTTGAGTCTGAATGCAGTCTGGAGGCAGAATTTTCTCTTCCTTAGGAGACTGCAGTCTTTTTTTTTTCTCTTAAGGCCTTCAGCTAATTGGATGAGGCTCACCCGCATTATGGAGAACAATCTGCTTTATTCAAAGTCTACTGATTTAAATGTTAACCTCATCTAAGAAATATGTTCCCAGTAACATCCAGACTGGCTTTTGATGAGATATCTGGGTCTCAGGGCCTAGTCAAGTTGACACCTAAAGGCAGCCATCACAGGGTATTAATTACAAACATGCCCAAATCTAGGTAAACCCTAATGAACTTCTCTGGTTACTGATTTTGTGGTACTCCTCCTGAATGGGAGTACCTGACTCCCATCTGTCTGGTATGGAGAAAAAGAATGGCTGTCGAAACCCACAAATATATGCTTAATCAAGCATCGAAACAAAATTCCAAATACTAAAGTCAAGGAAATTTCAAATGTCATCCAGCAGGTGAGAGCACTGGCTTTTCCACCTCCACTGAATGTTACCCCTCCTAGGTGCCTGTTCTGCCCCTCCCTGCTCAGGGAAACTTCTGACTCCCTGTTGATCTCAAAGCTGCTATGGCTTGTTTAATATTGAAGTTCTCTCTGTAGGTGTTGGCCTCTGATATTCATGTATTTCAGTCCCTTTTAATAATTCAAATATGTACCATGATGTTACATTCCATTCTACTATTCTCTCACCTCTGGGTCTTTTCTTCCATTTCCCACTCCTCCAGCAGTAAAGGCTCTTGTGGCACCTGTATCCATGTACAACCAACAGGTAATTACTTTCATGAGAAATTGTCAGGTGCCAGAACTTTCCCTCCGCACTACTCCTGGGAACATAAAAAAGCACTCCACAAGCCTATTTCAGCAAAGCTAAAATTAAAGGTTTAACCAAAATACTACTTAATAATACATCCAGATCGATTTGGCTATGTCACATAGTGACTGCCAGTCATATCTGAAAAAACAGAAACATCAAATGACAAAACGGTATAAAGCTTTTCGAATCATCCTGTGGGTGGGTCACTTTGTGGTCCAGGAGTCACAGTTCCACAGCTGCCACTGGACTTGCTTGAACGTGTTGATCTAAGACCCCTTGACACCTCTGCATCAGAATGCCTGTTCCACCCCTTCCTGCAGCCTTCACATGCCTCTGATGCTGGAAGGCATGCGGGAGCCCTCTCTGCAGAACTCTTCCTTCCTGTTTTAGATGTCTCCAACCAGCGACGTGAGAGGTGCACTAGGATCTGCCATAGTCACCTCTGCTGATAATCTGAGCAGCATAATATCATTGGAGGGTAGGAAAGGGAACTTAGTTCATTTTGTGGTGGTCAAATCATCTTTTTCTCCCCTCTATTTTATTCTCAGGATGGTGGATTATTTCCTGATCCATTTAGAAAATAGTGGACTTAGAATCCTTTCTTATTCTAAAATCCAATGAATATGATCTTCCCAATGTGGGTTATAAAGGGTTTGAAATCAGAAACTATGTTCCATATTTATTGAGTATCTTCACGTAGCAACATTAGGTAATTTTAAATACTGGGTGGGTGTTAGGGGCTCAATTTCTGTTGTCCTGAGTGATTTTCTGTCAAATTAATAATTGGGCTGCAACTAGTAAAGAGTATTTAAAAAAATCTTCTTACAGAATGTTAAAGGCACTCAGATTTGATTGAGAGACAGAATTTATATAAATAAGCAAATGTCTTTCAGAGAAAAAATGTTTCTAATCATTTTATTTTGAGAAGGGAGATGCATTAGTCCATATTCATGCTGCTGATAAAGACATATTCGAGCCTGGGTAATTTACAAAAGAAAGAGGTTTATGGACTTACAGCTCCTAGTGGTTGGGGAGGCCTCACAATCCTGGCAGAAGGCAAGGAAGAGCAAGTCACACCTTACATGGATGGTGGGAGGCAGAGAGTGCTTGTGCAGGGAATCCCCCATTTTTTAAAAACAATCAGATCTTGCCATACTCATTCACTATCATGAGAGCAGCACAGGAAAGATCTGCCCCCGTAATTGAGTCACCTCCCACTGTGTTCCTCCCACGATGCATGGGAATTGTGGGAGTTACAATTCAAGATGAGATTTGGGTGGGGACACAGCCACACCATATTGGAAGAAATGTAGAGTCACTCAAAGCAAGTAAATACCATGTATCTGAGTTACTGTTCTATACTCTTTGAAGAAGCCTTTGAATAAAGAGCACATTACTGGAAACGTGCTTGGTCAGGTGATGATTAAAGTGGTTGCTCATGGATACGACTGACTGCAGGCTCCACAGAGCAGCTTTTGGAGCCGAAGATCAGGGCCAAAAAAGAAAACAGGGATGGGAGGGTCCTTTTTGATTATAACTGTAAAACTCTCAAGAGCTTCAGACAGAGGACAGATCATTATCCCCAGTTTTCATAAAAGCAACTTATGCCTCAAGACTTTTAAACATTTTGCTCATAATTTCATAAAAGGTTGCTGGTGGAACGGTGGCTAGTGCCAGCTCTCTTTTTACCCTAGGGCAATGTTTGTTCTCTGCACTGCAGTAAATGGAGAACACCTCCACTGCTGCTTTTCTCCGGAGCACATTGTCTGTAAACAATGTTTAGGAGGGTTTTCAGCAACCATCAGGGTGCTTTTCCAGAGTGTCTGGGTGCAAGAAGCAATGATAGGAAAACAATCTTGGAGAAGGAAAGGAAAGCAAATGGGAGAGCAGGAGGAACAAAGACGGGGAAGAAAAAAGATGCACAGAAGAACCAGCTATTGATCTAGAATGTTTGGAGTTTATTTTTTGTTGATAGAAGGCTGCCCTTCATCTCATTCATGGTCAGACAATTCTTAAAGGTATCATTTAATATCAAAACTAAACTGGGCATAATTTAATTTGTTTAATATCATGATCAAATCTTACAATTTTAACTTCTAGTTATTATTGTGAACCTCTAAGAAAATATCTGGTTCTGTTGAGTCTGGATGCATGGATTTTACTACATCCATTGTATGCCATGGACAATCGTTTCAGATGCCATTCGTTGTCCCAAGTTCTCATGTCCTACTCTGACTCATTGGTTTCAATTTATTATTTCGACAGAAAACAGAGAACATTTCAGTGAAGGAGGAAACAGGAAATTCCAACAGATCAGCAACAGTTGGAGGGCTAACCTGTCACTGGCATGAAAAAAAAATGCTGTTGTTGATACATCTTCTCCTTGTTTTTGACACAAATTAGGTAACTCCCTGACTTACTGTCTCTTCGTAAAATTGGTAGCGGTGTGATAAATGTCTACGCAGTATATAGAGATATTCATAACAAAGACTTATGCTATGAAAAATGTCCTTTTTTCACAATAGAAAGAATAACTCATGCTCTATATAATTTGCACCTATATATTTTGTTGTTGTATATCCTGGTTTGCTCACTAAGCTGAAGTTCATTTTCTTAACGTGATTCTTGAGTCCAAAACTGACAAATCAAAAGGATCAAATATTGGGCTCCTATATTTTATGTACAGTAGTTGTGAAGTTCACCTCAGTGGGTCTGCATGAAAGCCCCCGCTTTCATGAAAATAATTGTTCTTCATTCTCAAAAGCAATTTTGAAA